TTTTTTTTGGCAAAATCAGCAAGGCTAAGTGCTGTCTACAAGGAGGTGTAATCAGTTTTACCAATTCTACTGAAATCAGCCAAATCACGATAATTTCCATGGGCAAAATGCAACTTGGTCCGCGTTTACCGTTTTCACGAAAACAGTAGTCCTGTGTAGACACAAAGTTGCCATGAAAGGCCAAACCTGTGGGAAAAATCCATTTTACCGTTTTCAAGAAGAGGCAAAAGTCACCCAGAAATGTCTACAAATGTATCAAGTTGCACATGGCACCCGACAATACGGACTGTTTCACGAAGAGGCAAAATGCACACAAAATCCAGCGTTTTCACTAATAGACAAATGTGTTTGTTAAAAAAAATAAATTGATTCCTATAACGATGATATTGTGGTTTTGTGTCATTTAAGATCTGATCTTTCATGAGGTAGTTTTGTAGTCAAGGAAAAGTCAAGTCTTCAAGCGATCTTTTTCAAAAGAGGCCAACTTTAAATGCAATTTTCTCTGAACCTGGATATACTCTTCGGTTAGACTTTTGTCTCTTCGTGAAAACGGTGACAATATATCTGATGCAATTATTTAGTGACGTCGATTTTGCTTCGTTATTGCGTTCACCTGAAGTATGAACCGGCCTTTACGTTTCCAGAAGCTATTGACCCTCCCTTGATTTCCGACTTTGAGTTATGGATAAGCGTTTTCCCAAGTCTTCTTTGACCTGAATATAAGCAATTCCATCACTACGCCCACAAAATACTATTTTTCCAAGATAAGACGTCATAGAGGAATTCAACGTATGAAGTTTGGCACGCATCCGATGCCTATCCGTTAAACACAAACATTGAGATATGCTCTTCAGCTCTGCATATTGTTTTCTGCATTACTTTATTTTCCGTAATTTCATTCTGTGTATCTGCGGACTAAACTTGATTAGTTTATATGTCATTTTAGCTAAAATGCAACGAACTGAGGATTCCTCCACTTGATGACAATGCGCCTTACATTTTTAAAACAAATGAAATTCACGAGCAAAAAAAACATACAAAACAAAACGAAATCAAAGAACAAAATAAAATTGAAATATTACATTGTGATCAAATTCCCTTATTCATGCACATAAATAAAAGTGACAAATGTGTGCGCTACTGACTTAGCGGTCTGTTTTCATATTGTCTTCATGTACAAGAGCTTCCAGAACGTTCCACTCCTACCTTACCACGCTATAACACAGGACAAGTTGGGGATAGTTGAAGGTTCATTTCCCCCTGGATGAATGATTACACTTTAAGAGGAACATTTTACAATGCATACACCTGTTTGGTGACTGGTTAATATGTGCACTCAATTCCCTTTACATACGTATATGG